AGTTGTTGCGTCTTAGAATTAATTTTTAAGGTGTTTGGATAATGAGTTTTTAAGTTATTTTTATTTATTTTAAGATCTTAAATAAAAATGTGGAGTAGAGGTACTTCTTAAAAAAGATCTCAAAAGCTATCCAACAACTAGGGGTGGAAATCGGAATGGAATTTTCGAATTCCATCAATTCTGATCCGATAATATCCGAATTTGGAACTCTGTTTTTCATTATGATATTCGATTCTGAACTGATTTAGAACGGAACTGGAATAGTATATAAAATTACCGGATATTTTGATTTTTGATTCAATTTTAGTTCATAATATTTCTATTATTTTTGAAATATATAATATAATTTTATGATTTATTTTGTAATTCGATAATATAATTTATGTTATAATTCATATGAATAATATAAATAACGAAAGCGCACGTAAATTAAAACCACATAAAATATTAATCGGTATCAGAACTTAATGTTGTAATTTGTTTTCCCTATATGAAAATATTTGTTTCAATTTGTTGTTCGACAAGTGTTCTTATTTATTGCGTTTTGTCGAACTCTCTTATGGATTTTCTTGCATTTTCATGCAATTTTTCTAAAGGTAAATTACAACCACCCCTGAGGTATGGTCAATTTACGAAAAAAACCCCTATTGTTTGGATAATTACATCTACCCCCTCAACCATGATTTTTTTCTTACACCTCCACCCTTATTCAAATTCAACATAATCATCTATATTTCGTGGAATGTGCTCTAGTTTGTACCCGTTTTGTGTAAATATACAGTTTCTGATGCACCACAATCCGATATACATACAAGCCAAAAAACACATATATTATGATCATCTTGATTCAAAATGTAGAGTTCAAATAGGATAAAACGGGTACAAAAGTTATAATATTCCATATAATCTAGAAGATTCCACTAAATTTGAAACTGCAAAGGTAAATGTGTAAGAAGATTTATAGTTGAGGGGAGTGGTTGTAATTACCCAAACATGAGGGGTTTTTTCGTAATTTGACCATACCTCGGGGGTGGTTGTAATTTACCCATTTTTTAAAAGATAAAAATTTTAGTTATGACAATTTTCATGCAATTTTTTTTAAATACTTAAGATTACTATTATTTATGTATTGATTTCTTAAAATTTACCAATATGAATATATTCGATTAATTGGTCCAATAACAATTGGATGTTATTTATTAAATATGTACCCAACAGTACAAGATAATATTTTTAAATTTTAAAATATTGCATTTTTCAACAGATATTTTTAGTTGTATAATTTAATTATTATTTTAAATAAAAAAGAAGATTTTAATGTATTAGGATTTAAATTACAAACTGAATTGAACTTGAGGGGTAAGTGTTACAAATGATACTTTAGGGGTAAGTACACTTTCAAATGTATTTAACCCTTTAAAAATTAATGAAGTTTTCCAAAATCTATATTAAATATAAAACTAAGATACACAATAAAAGTTATCCACTTGAGGAGATTGAGTCCACATTATTTTATAAATTTCAAAATAACCCCACTTACCATATTCACCCATATTATTAATCAATTAATTTGACATTATTGGTTTTAAAATTTTATCTCTCCTACATGTCAAAATGGTGTCTTTTTATTGGTTATTGAGTTTCTTTTTTCAATCATTTGTTTCATATTAAAAACGTAAATATATAAATGTACATTCCACTTACTTTGGGTTAATTAAATTTTATGCACAATATTATATTAATTGCCAAAAACACCCAATTTTCAAATTTCATCTATCCTACATGGAAAAATTGTGTCTTTTTATTGGTTAATGAGTTTTTTTTTATTATAATATTTTCATTAAAAAAATCGAGGGACTGAAATGCAATTATGTTCCTCCACATATATCACATATTATTACTAATTTCAAAATAACCCCACCATATTCACCCATAATATTAATGAATTAATTTCACATTATTGATTTTAAAATTTTATCTCTCCTACGTGTCAAAATAGTGTCTTTTTATTGGTTATTGAGTTTCCTTTTTTCAATCAATTGCTTCATATTAAAAAGGTAAATATATAAATGTACATTCCACTTAATTTGGGTTAATTAAAGTTTATGCATAATATTATATTAATTGCCAAAAAAACCCAATTTTCAAATTTCATCTATCCTACATGGCAAAATAGTGTCTTTTTATTGGTTAATGAGTTTTTTTTATTATAATATTTTCATTAAAAAAACCGTGGGACTGAAATGCAATTATGTTCCACCACATATATCACATATTAATACTAATTTTAAAATAACCTCACTTACCATATACCCATATTATTAATGAATTAATTTCACATTATTGATTTTAAAATTTTATCTCTCCTACGTGTCAAAATGGTGTCTTTTTATTGGTTATTGAGTTTCCTTTTTCAATCAGTTGCTTCATATTAAAAACATAAATATATAAATGTACATTCCACTTAATTTGGGTTAATTAAATTTTATGCACAATATTATATTAATTGCCAAAAAAACCCAATTTTCGAATTTCATCTATCCTACATGGCAAAATAGTGTCTTTTTATTGGTTAATGAGTTTTTTTTATTATAATATTTTCATTAAAAAAATCGTGGGACTGAAATGCAATTATGTTCCACCACATTTATCACATATTATTATTAATTTTAAAATAACCCCATTTACCATATTCCCGCATATTATTAATGAATTAATTTCACATTATTTATTTTTAAATTTTATCTCTCATACGTGTCACAATGGTGTCTTTTTATTGGTTATTGAGTTTCCTTTTTATAGACAACATTTTGAATAAAAAAACGTAGGACTTAAATGCAATTTTTACAATTTTTACATATTATTATATTTAAATTAATTTAGATATATCCCGAAATTATATCAATTTAAATTAAATACTTTATTTCTTACCTTTATTACATTCCTTAACTCTCCTATAAATTACCATTCAACACATTCACCTTCTTCAACTTTTCCACATACTTTCTTTTTTTCTGTTTCGGAGATATGGAGAGAATTCTTGAAAAAAAATTGCATTAGTATCACCTACATGCAATGGTATATTCATTATAGTCTAATTTGTAGTATAACAATGAACTACTGCTTTATTTTGTATTTGATTCCTTCACTCAATTTTATATGTAGCCTTTAAGGAATGTTTTTGTTGAAGCTTCTCGGTTGACAGGATTGTCTACTATCAATATTTGATACGATGAGGGAAATCATTTTCAAGTTGCGGTATCTTCGCGCCAAAAACATGGAAAAATGTATTAGTTGTTGACTAAGGGTTGGACAGAGTTTTGTTACGCACATAACATGATTTGCGGCAACACGTATTCTTTTTTTTTTTTAACCAAATGGGATGATGTAATCGAGGTGTGGCACGGCCCAACCTTTCCAACAATATGATATGTCTTCGCCCTCCTTAAAGTTTTATTATTGATAATATGAGTTGCATCGATTTACAAATAATTTCCATTTTTTTTATTGTTTTATCTATCATGTTGAAAGAGCATTGTATACCATTAACATAATTGTACGCATCCACACGAAAACGAATACCCATAAGATAAACTAAATAAATATTTAGAAACGATAAAACAATTGTAATATATTACAAAAAATAGTCACAATATATATGACGTATATTTAAACAAAAGCATCCGTTAAATCAAGAGAATCAATATACATATTTAAACAATAGTATATATATATATATATATATATATATATATATATATATATATATATATATATATATATATATATATATATATGTGGAATATGTATACATATTTAAACAATAGAATCCGTGTATAATATATTTAAATTTTTATGGATATATTCAATCAATATAGATTTTATTTCCTTTATAATAATTAATATTGATTTAATCATTTATATTTGTGTAGGTTATCTATAATTAATATAGATTAGACATATAAATATGTTCCTAATCAAAATTTATGCAGTTTATTTATAGGGAATTGCTTACTTTTAGTTCATTACATGGAATATGAATATTTATTAACTATAATTTACTCTAATTTAAAAACTGTTAATTAATTATATTCCATTTATTATGATTTAGAAAACAATAGAATCCGTGTGTGTGTGTGTATATATATATATATATATATATATATATATATATATATATATATATTCGCAATAAGCAAATATCGATTTATTTTTTTATGGATATTTTCCCATAATATAAATTTTATTTTCTTTATAGTAATTAATATTGATGTAATCTTTTATATTTATGTAGGTGATGTATAATTAATATAGATTAGGCATATAAATATGTGCCTAACCGGAATTTATGCATTTTATTTATAGGAAATTGCTTAATTTTAGTTCATTACATGGAATACGAATATTTATTAACTATGATTTAATCTAATTTAGGTACTATTAAATATAATTGTATTCCATTTACTATAATAACGGAACTAAAATTTAGGAATTATATTTTTATTTCCATGATCGTATTTCATTTACTATGATTTAGGAACTCATAAATCTCATCATATTATATATACACGGTTCATTTCATTGTTACTCTAAACTGCAGGATACTATTGTTCTCTCGATACTTCATCAGCCGACCACCGTTCTCTTTTTGTGAATCGTGAGTATAATATTATTTTAGAATAATTTTGACTTTTTTTGTTTTTTTTCTGTCACGATACCCGAGCATATGAATTAATGTACCTTTCTCATATAGATTATATATTATACTTTATTCATATTAAGAATTATATATAATACAATATTTGTAATCGTATATTCATGTTTTATTATGTGACTTAATTCACTAACAAATTTTGATTACGTGTATTAAACACATATAGATGTCAAGGCAAGGAGATCTCATTAGAAACTTGGGAGGTGAAAAAAAGTCATGAAATCTCAAAATCCGTGTTTTGCACATTTGGAAACAACCAAATTATTTTAAGAAAGATCTTCAAGACATGGAGATGATCTTCATTGATGAACAAGTGATTATTTTATTTTAATATGTCAAATATAATTGTTAGCAAAATATATTTTCACATTCGTTTCTTCATTACGCAGGGCGACACAGTGCAAGCTTCCATTAAGTATACATTGTTATACAGATTTGAGTCTAAGATCAAAGTGAACAGATGTTATGTAATGTCAAATCTATCCGCTTTTTTTAGTGTCAAGACCTACAAGTATGTCATGAATGATTATAGAGTCACTTTTGAATATACATCCACTGTGAGAGAAGTTGACATTCCGTCCATTCCAATGTATTCATTTAAGTTCACATCTTACGCAGATATACAACAAGCGTCAAACAACAATGAGTATACGATAGGTATTAGATGTTTCCATTTATGATTTACTTAATATTTAGCATCTTTGTTTGGATGTATTCTTACAATTTTTTAATATTAATTACATATGTTATTGGTTCGCTTTTGTCGATAGGTTCATTGAATCATGTATCGGGTGGAACAAAACAAAACATTCCATTTGAACTTGAAGATATTGAGTATTTTCAAAAAACACTAAAATATATATTTTTGGATTTTAAATCATATATATTTACATGTGTTTTACATATCAATCATCATTTTATTTGTTATGCAAGTGGTTCGAAGGTCAACTGTTTGTTGTGGGGAAAGTTTGCTGAATACATACTTCAACGAATTCAAGATATTGGTGTAGGGCCGTATATTGTTGTGATACAATTTGCAACGACTAAGATAAAGAATGGTATTAGTTTGTTCAATATCTGTCTTATGCATTTGGAATAATGAATGTGATGGACATTTATTACATTTCATTCTTATTGTTATGTTTTCGTAGGTGAAGTTCAGGTATCTAACCATTGGTATTCATCACGTGAGCTTATAAATGAGGATATACCTGCAATTAATGAGTTCAAATCGAGGTTACAATTTTATATTTAAATGTATTAATTACGTTTTTTTTCAAAATTTAGTTTGTTCATTACGATTTATTAGCATGTAACTTTTCATTTTAGTCTCATTCGAAGTAAACCAAATAGTGGTCAAGTGATAAGTCAAAAATCGTCGCAGTCTTACACGATGGAAGATGATTTCATACGTAAGACTGCCAGAAAAAAATTGGACGAATTGAGTGACACAAATGAGGTAATAACAATATATTTGCTACATTATTTATTCGTACATTTTCAGTAAAATACTAATATGAATCATTTATCAAAATTGATTATAACTATACTTAACTGGTGTTTATTTTCACATTTTAGCCTGGCAAATATGTTGTATTGGCCACTATTAAGGGTCTTGTGAAAACATTAAAGTGGTGGTACAATGGTTGCATGAAGTGTAATAGATGTGCTAGACATGATTCAAAAATGTGGTATTGTCACGTTTGCATAGCTCATTGGCCTACTGCGAAGCCAACGTACGTAATATTTTTTTTTCTTTGGGTTAGTTCTAATACTATTCAACAAACGCATTTCATTCACATTTTGTTATTATTTTTAGTTATAAAGTTGAAGTCATTATCATGGACGATACAAATTTAGCTTCGATGATTGTATTTGGGAAAGAAGCTGAAAGGATGCTAGATATTTCTGTAGAAACATTAATTCAAACAATCCGAAACAGGGTATATTGATCAACCACTCATCATTTTTTTTCTCTAAAATATACATTTTTTAAAGAAATGATGTCAACGCTATTACTCCAATGAAGCGATCCAACGATTGTATTTTGGATAGTATTCTCAATGATCCTACCGTCCAACAATCATCCACCAAATTATTGAAAAATATCAAACAAGAGAAAATGGAGTAATTTATTATTTAAACTTATTCGACATTTTTTTGTTATTCATTTCGATTCTCTTTGGTTTTTCCTATTTAGAGACACATTATGTTTTGCTATTTTGAGACAATATCCTTATTACTTTTGCATACAGCTTATTTCAATAAAGTTACTTATGTTTTTTTAATGCGGCAAACGAATTTATTCATTTATGCCAAAATGAATTAAGCATATTAATAAAATTGTTTATATTTGAACATTAATTGCGTTGTTGTCTAACAAACGTGTATCCTTAATACTTCATATTAATACATTTTTCTTTTATGTTTGCCCTTTCCTTTGCAATCCGTTACAAAGATTATAAGTTTCCATACGAAAGAGAACACCCATATATATAACATTGTTATATTTATGTAAATATTTTTCTTTATAAATATAATAATCTTTAGGGTTAACTGCAAAAAATCCCCTAAACTTTGGACGTTTTTGCGCTTTACCCCCTGAACGGAAAAAAGTTGCACGGGCATACCTGAACTTCACTTTTCTTAGCACCGACAGCTCAAATTTACCGGAATTCAAATCACGTGGCTCACACGTGAATATAGTTGGGTAAATTAGTCTTTTCCTTTTTACCCCCATTTTCTTCATTTTCTTTTTAATAAATATAAATAAAATGAAAAAAACTAAAAAGAAATATGAAAGAAAGAAGAAAAGAAAAAATAAAAAGAAAAAATAGAATATTGCTGCACCAGCACATCCATCGTCTTCAACCCACCTCCACACACAAATCAGACAACTATACCTCTACAAATCAAACACCACCCACCGGCCACCACAACCTCTTATCCGCCGCCGCACCACCACCACCAAACCAATTTCAATCCATTCCTCATTCACCATCACAAGACAAAGAAATTGGGGGGTTTCGCCGGTGCTCCGGTCTCAAAATTTGACCGCCGGCTGGTGACTCGTTCTTTGCCGCAATCAATCAACGGATGGCGAAGACGGCGAATTCCAGCGGTGGAAGAACCCAATTTGGTGGAAATATGACACGGTAGCAAAGGATGAACCTTCCACCATTGAAACCTCTGGCGACGGTGCATCAATTTCAGCCCAAACCAATTTCTTTTTCTTCTTTGAATCAGAGTTTAATTCCGTCGAGAAATTTGAGTTTTTGGAATCAAAGCTTAATCAATAATACAATCCTCAATTTGGTGCTTTTTTCGGGAGAGAGAAAGATTGATTAATATGATGTTCTGGTGTGATGTGCTTTCGAGTTGCGAAGCAAAGCGGCGGAGGGCGGCGCAGCAGAGGCGGCGGAGGGAGATGAAACAGCGGCGGGTGAGGGCTGAAGTTGTTGAAGAGCAGCTTTGTTGGGGCTGGGAGTGACGAGAAGAATGGTTGGGGATGATGGTGGCGGAAGAAGAATTTTTATTTTTTTTCCCTTTTAAGATTTATTTATATTTATTAAAAAAAAAAGGAAGAGAAATAGAGAATGGGTGTAGAATGGAAATGACTAATTTACCCCCACGTGTAAGTCACTTGATTTGGATTCCGGTCAATTTTGGCCAAAAATAGACATTTTGGATGCCGGTGCTAAGAAAAGTGAAGTTCAGGTATGCCCGTGCAACTTTTTTCCGTTCAGGGGGTAAAGCGCAAAAACGTCCAAAGTTTAGGGGATTTTTTGCAGTTAACCCTAATCTTTATTATATTCTACGATCTACATAACATATTTTATGAAACATTTACGTATGAATCAGTTTAATCACCCATGTGTTAATATATTTTAAATAAAAATGATGAATTAATACTGGTCAAAATGCTTTTTATAATTACATGTATTAAATTAACAATAATAGATTATTATAACATGTTTAGTAACCAACTTATTCACACGTAAATGCCTTTTCAATATATAAATTAAATATTTTATATTCTACTATAACCTATTAATTTCTATTTTCTTTAATATCACGTTGTGTTTATGGTAATAGTATTCGATATTTTCAATAACATATACGTTATTAAAGCAAATATATTAATCATCTATATAAGATTTTTAGCTTTTTTTGTATTAACTTTGACATTAATTTTGAAATCCGTGGACTATAATAATTAAATTTTGATATGAATATAATGTCTGTATTTTCTAAATTTATTTTAAATACTCATATATTTTGAAATACTTTGATTATAGAAAGAGTATTAATTTATGCAATGTTAAATTAAATTAATTATATTTTTAAAATATCACCATATACCAGTTATTCATAGATTAACGCTCATTTTAAAATGTGAATTTTGAATTTTTAATCTACTTTCCAAATTATGCTTACAATCCATACTTTATAATCTACCCAACTCAATGTTATTTTCAATACTCAAGCCACATACTTCAATTTGTTGTACGTAAATGTTTTCACTCCAGAATTATTGATTTTATATTTTTTTAATCATTCTTTCACTCCACATTTCTTTAATCTTTCAATCCCGAATCCAAATTCGTTCGACAGGAAAATGGAAGTTCAACTAACATTATGCGTACTTTGCAACAACCATTTTGATCGCAATTTGGATCCATGTATGTGTATTTCATGCAAAGAATCTATCAAAGTCGACTGCGCACGGGGCCATGTTTTATATGTGGTGTAGTTGAAACAGAAAATTACAAAACTTTTTTCAATTGTGGGTTCTGTGAATGTGTGTTTACACATTATATGTGTATACCGTCGAATGAGCGTCGGCATTTCGGCTATGTATGGAGGTGTGGTCAATGCGATTGGTCTTTCAACATGACGATGTATCAACCATTTTCTAATGAAAATGAATTTCATTTTGATGACGATGTAACTAACATTAATGCCTCACTCATCTACTTTGAGAGAAAGTTTACGTTCAAAGATCTCCACCAGAAGGTAATATCATTTCTTAATGTGAAATTTTCATTGAATGTTATGATAAACTTATCATTATATTTATTCTAACACTAAGCTAATACTAATACTAATACTAATATTAATACTAATTTTGAGGTACGGAGATTTTCGACAACAATTTGTGTATAAAGAGGATTCTCGAACTTGGGCGTCAAGGAAAAAAAGATTCTCTATTGGTAGGATTGCGAACGTTCCCCCTGGAAAGGGTGAAGACTATTACCTTAGGTTGCTACTTAACATTAAGAGGGGATGCACGTGCTACGAGGACATCAGAAAAGTTTTTAACACTGTCTACCCTACGTTCAGGGATGCATGTTATGTGTTGGGTTTGTTAGATGACGACAAAGAATACATAGATGCAATAATAGAAGTGAATACTTGGGCATCGGGGGATTATATAAGAAGGTTATTTGCGGTTATGCTACTTTCCAATAGCTTATGTCGGCCCGAACATGTTTGGCAAAGTTGTTGGTTGGATTTGGCTGAGGGTATTGCTTTCAAACAACAACATCTTCATAAAAATCCAGGTATGGCAATTTGTATGGCACTGTATTCCATTAGATTTTAGGTATTACTCATTCTTTTAATATTGTCTCTGTATGATTTCAACTAGATGCACATAATTTATCCATTTTTTTTTTAAGATTTACATATATCGGATGAAAGCTTGAAGAACTATACTCTCACTGAAATAGAAAAAATATTGCAAAGCAATGGTAAAAGCCTGCGAAATTACGCACCTATGCCAGTTCCAATCGAATCCTCAGCGGAGGACACATAAAAGATATTGGTGTTAGATGAACTGGATTACGACCGGATTGAAATGGGTAGAGAACTTCAACGGTGTCTTGCTTCCATTACAGATGAGCAAAGAAAGGTTTATGATGTAGTCATGGATGTTGTATCCAATGACCGTGGTGGAATATTCTTTCTATATGGCCATGGTGGAACGGGAAAGACATTTCTATGGAAAACTCTTTCGGCTGCAGTTCGTTCGAAGGGAGAGATTGTAACTAATGTTGCATCGAGTGGTATAGCATCGTTATTGCTCCCCGGTGGAAGAACAGCTCATTCTCGATTCGAACTACCCATAAATGTACATGAGAGTTCCACCTGCAGCATATTCGCAACAAAGTCCATAGGCGGAGTTGCTCATGAGGGAAAAGCTTATTATATGGGACGAGGCTCCTATGATGCATAGATACTGTTTTGAAGCCCTTGACAAGAAAATGGAGTCAATACTACAAGTTGACAAACCCTATGGTGGTAAGGTGGTTGTTCTTGGAGGAGATTTTAGGCAGATTTTACCAGTTGTGCTCAAAGCATCAAGGCAGAACATAGTACATGCTACGATAAACTCCTCGCCGCTGTGGAATTTCTGTCGTGTCATGAAGTTGAGTAAGAACATGAGATTGCAGTCATGCTCTTCTCCATCTAACGTGAATGATATAAAAGAATTTGGCGACTGGATACAGAATGTTGGTAATGGGGATGTTGGGGAAGACAATGATGGTCAAGCTTCGATAGAGATTCCAGATGACATGTTGATCGGTGATACAAAAGATCCATTCAGAAACCTACTCGAATTTGTTTACCCGGATTTGTTGAGTAACATGTACGATCTAGACTATTTTCAAGGGAGGGCAATTCTTGCACCAACTAATGAATGCGTCGAGTATGTGAACGATCACTTAATGTCTCTCCTTCCAGGAGAGGAGAAGGTGTACCTGAGCTCAGATAGTATGTGTAGGGACGAGCAAACAACGGAGGATAATGTAGAAATTTATTCGACTGAATTCCTCAACACAATAAGATGCTCCGGAGTTCCTTCTCATGCGTTGAAGTTCAAGGTTGGTGCACCAGTTATGCTAATAAGAAACATCGATCAAGCTAGAGGATTGTGCAACGGTACCAGACTTCAAATTATTAGAACTGGCATTCACGTTCTGAGTTGCAAAATTCTTTCCGGAAAAAATATCGGTGACATGGTGTTCATTCCTCGGATGACTTTAATACCATCTAACTCCGGACTGCCAATTAAATTTCAGAGAAGACAATTTTCGTTGATTGTTTCTTTTGCAATGACGATCAATAAAAGCCAAGGCCAAACTCTTTCGCATGTTGGTTTGTATCTTCCTAGGCCTGTCTGTCTTCAGCCATGGTCAACTATATGTTGCACTGTCAAGAGTTAAGAGCAGAGCTGGCATTAAGATATTCATCAAGTCCGATTCGGGTGAACTCACCAATATTACTAGAAATGTCGTGTACAAGGAAGTATTTCATCGAATTTGAACGTATAAAATATTTTCATATTTATGAGTTATTCATGTAACATGTTTTTTTTTATTTTTTAAAGAACTTATTCTTTTGCATGTGTTTCTTCTCTATATATTTTCCCCGGTGCGATGTTATTTTCAGTCATGTCCCTAGGGTGCTCGGTGCAAATCTTATTATCTTTAAGATTTATTTTTGACGATATACTAATATTTAATAGTATTCTTATATTATAACTATGAAAAACATGACACTTATAACATATTTTTATTATTGTTGGTCGATGACATTTTGTACTTAAATTCAATGAGCATAATAATAGATATCAGCGTAAATTTATTTTTCAGACATGTTTTTCCATTTCAAAATATGTCGCCCCGTGCATCGCACGGGTAAATACTAGTTGGTTAAAAATGTTAAAACTTATGTGATTTCTGAATTTTTAAAATTTCCTTAACTTTTGGAATTGGAATAAATTTCTAGATTCCAAAAAAATTGAAATCAAAATTAGAATTAATATAAATTGATTTTGAACTTTTAACCACATCAATTTCATGAGGTTCTAGTTGGATTATTCGAATTTGAGACTAAGGTGGTGTTTGCAAAAACTTTTGAAAATAAATTATGAGTTTTGTTTTCTCACATAATTTATTTTTGGGTGTTTGTAAAACCGACTTTTGCTTTTGCTTCTTTTAAAATAAGCTGATTTCAGCTATTATTTTAATAGCACCCATGTACCTGTTTTTTCTATTTTAGTTAATTTTCCAGATTTTTTACAAACACTCCGATCTTTTAGAATTAAGCATTTAATATCAACTTAACTTACAATCACTAACTTATACTTTTAAATAAGTTTTTACAAACACCACCTAACTAGATAGAGTTACTCAAATGGTTAAAATTTTTAATGTAAATATGATTTTTTAGTAAAGTATCCTAATAGTAAAAATGTATACTTTTTTTTCGCTAATCGGAATCTGAAGTGGAAGCACACCATAGTTAGATAACCGTTGTTCTAACGAAGCTTCGAATTGAATAATTTAGTATGCTGCATGCCAACCAAGTACCGAGTTGGAAGTTGAGTTAACCTGGACAAAAATCAAGTTGACAATCTGGTCAACACAATTAAATGGAAAGTGTCCACAAAAACACATATACGAGTGATTGGTGTTCGACCACGAACGGGAGGGGCGATGCTACACCCGGGGATTATAACTGGGTTCCTCTCCTCTTGACACACAATTTTCAAATAAATTGATTCAAAATAGCTTAAGGATTTATTTTTTCTTTTGTTTTTTTTTTCCTCTTGTGTCAAATGTTTTTTTGTGAATATTTTTATTTTTGCACTCTGTAGTTTTAAAAATATTGATGAATGTAAAAGTTTTGATTTCACATTTGGCATCCTTGGAATTCACCATTAAAAATATTAAATCATCTTTATTAGCTTAAAAATGCATTCGAGTGTAAGTCTTATTTTTATTTAATGGCCCATTAACCTTTGAATTTAATCTTTATTTTAAATTGTGGGTAATTCAAATTATGGTATTAAGGTGATTTTATGGTAATTGATTTGTAACGTTAAAGGTTAAAGGCAATAAAAAGACCATGATGGGTGGGATTTGTCTTCTGCCGTTACAAATCAATCGTGGCCTCTATAAAAGAAATCCACAACTCTTCTCCTCAACTATCAGACACAATTGAGAATTCCATCAATCACAGAACACTTAGTGAGTTGTGATATTAGAGAGATAGAGAGAAGAAGGTGTGCTACGAATAAAGTTCTCAAGGAGATTCGAAGGAGGCCTTGCTAGGCTCGGCTTGTAGATTGCTATCATCCTTGTTCATCGTCTCTATCGGAATCCATGGCGAACGGTATGTCGATAATCTCTATTACGTGATTATATTCTTAAGATGAATTTGATTTCAAAATTCTGTGATTAAAGTTTTCCGCATAAAATTAAATAAAAGTCTTTCAATTGGTATCAGAGCAGGGTTTTGAAATCGATCCATCTTAGAACTCAAATATGTTAATCTTACAAATTTATGATTTCATAAAATTGATTTGCGATTATGATTATTATTTGTGTTTTGATATTTATAATATGTTTTGAGTAATTGGGCGATTATTATTATTCCTGCAAAATATTGATGAATCTGTCAGAGATTTTTCTATGAATATCTTGTTATATAATTGTATCGATTTGTATCTGTTTCTAAAAGTCCGATAAAGACAGTTTCGTGACTATCAAAGTTTGTGTTAATTGTCTGTACCCATTGTCTTTATTATTTATTAATTTTTATATCCTGATCAAAGTGGTTATTTTCTAAATAAATAATAAAATAAATCATCAGTGGGTTTAATATGGATACGGTACATGTTGATTGAATTGATATTGATATTTGTTTTTCAATTAATTTATTATTCGGTCAATATATATATATGCATTGTACCTGCCTATACTTTGATTATCTTATATTGGCATCTATATTTAAATGATTAGAGTACATATACATATGACGGTACATATTCTGTACAATTCATTCATTATTATTTTGCATAAACACCATTCAAATAAAATAACGAGAATATTATTAGTTTTATGTTTATGAAATTTACTAATCTTGTAGTTGCTAAAGTGACCTAGATTAGTAAAATCTAATAAATATAAGAACTATATGAAAGTTTAATCATTTACATGATATTAAAGATTATAATATTCTCAAATTGCAGTCATAATTACGAAATTGAGACTAGCTCAAAGGATAGTCGATTTTAATTAATTATGAACTGGGTAGGGTGTCATAATTTATATTACTTAGCAATTAGAATTGTTTGCCTAAAGGTAACATGACTAATTGACGAGTGAGATAAATTATGTTAGACCCTACTTAGGTGTTATAAAAGATTATTTACACCAACATAGAGTGAACAATAGGTATGCTGTATTTCACCCAAAGGCGAACTTGTAGTGATATCAATAGTTCATCTTATTTGACTCAAGGTCTTATGTGAGCATCCTTTTATCTTTACCTTATTATATTTGCTATATTTATTTCAGTTGCTATTCCTACATCATTGTACTCGCATGCTTCTGGTATTAAGACTCTCAGTGGGTCAAATTTCTCCGAATGGTATGAACAAATTCAATTCACCTTGGGTGTTATGGATTTGGACCTAGCATTGCTTACTGAAAAACCTGGGGAAATAACGGATGCTAACAGTGAGGAAGAAGTTAGCCTAATTGAAGCCTGGACCAAGTCCAATAGGCTTAGTCTTATGCTTATTAGAATGACCGTTGCTAATAACATTAAGACTTCTCTTCCCGAGGTTGACAATGCTATGGAACTGTTAACGGCTATTAAAGAACGCTTTAAATCAGCGGACAAGTCGTTAGCAGGGACACTCATGGCTGAATTGACTACCATGAAATATGGTGGTGATAAGGGAATTCAGGAACACATCCTGAATATGACTGATAAGGCTGCCAAACTTGGAGCTCTTGGCATGAAAGTGGAAGAGTCATTCCTTGTGCAATTTATCCGTAACTCACTTCCATCAAAGTTCGGCCCATTCAAAATCCACTATAATACTCAAAAAGATAAGTGGAATTTGAATGAGCTGACTAGTATGTGTATTCAAGAGGAAGTGAGATTAAAGCAGGAAGGAAATCACTTTGCATTGGCTGTAACTCATGGAAGTATGAAGAAGAAAGGGAAATTTGGGAAGAGTGGAAAGAAATTCGCACCAAACAAAAGATATGAACCTGGTGAAAGTAGTCAGGGTCATGGAAAGGCTTTTGTTGTCACCTGTTACTTTTGTAACAAGAAGGGACACGTAAAGAAGGACTGTGAGAAACGTAAGGCTTGGTTCGAAAAGAAAGGTATTCATCTTTCTTTTGTATGTTATGAATCAAATCTTATTGAAATTCCTTCTTACACTTGGTGGCTTGATTCTGGTGCTACAACTCATATCACAAATTCATTACAGGGATTCCTTACAACTCGGAAACCGGAGGAAAGTGAAAAGTACATCTATATGGGGAACCGTCTCAAATCTAAAGTGGCGTTTGTTGGCACTTATCGCCTCATATTAGAGACGGGTCGCAAGATGGATCTTGAAAACACTTTTTATGTACCTTCGTTTTGTAGGAATTTGGTTTCTTTGTCAAAACTGGATGTTTGTGGTTATTCAGCTTTAATTGGTTGTGGAAAACTCAGTTTTATGTTTAATTCAATAATAATTGGTTCCGGTATTTTATGTGATAGTTTATATAAAATATCTTTGAATCATGAGTTAGAACAATCATTATTAACCACTCATTCGGAAGTTGGCGTAAAGCGAAGCCTAAATAACGAAAATTCTTCTATCTTGTGGCATAAACGATTGGGGCATATCTCCAAGGAAAGAATCGAAAGATTGGTAAAAACTGGAATTTTGGAAAATCTAGACTTTACTGATTTTCAAATGTGTGTGGATTGCATTAAGGGTAAGCAAACCAAACACAATAAAAGAGGTGCCACAAGAAGTAAAGAGCTTCTTGAGTTAATCCATACAGATATCTGCTCACTACCTATTCCATGTTTTAGTGGAGAAAAGTATTTTATCACCTTCATTGATGATCTATCTCGTTATGGTTATCTCTATCTAATTCATGAAAAATCTCAAGCCGTTGACATGTTTGAGGTGTTTGTTACGGAAGTCGAAAGACAATTAGATAGAAAAATTAAAGTTATACGATCAGATCGGGGTGGGGAATACTATGGTAGATATGATGAGTCGGGACAAAATCCTGGCCCATTTGCTAAATTCTTAGAAAAGCGTGGTATTTGTGCTCAATACACAATGCCTGGAACACCACAGCAGAATGGAGTTGCTGAACGTCGTAATCGTACTCTCATGGATATGGTTAGGAGTATGTTAAGTAATTCAACTGTACCCATTTCATTTTGGAATGAAGCCTTGAAAACCGCTATGTATATCTTAAACCGGGTTCCCAGTAAGGCGGTCCCAACAACTC